GCATATGTCCAATATGATGTGCGTGGCACCATGAGTGATCATCTTGACTATTTCCCGTCGATCGCCATAAAGCCAATCCACATTAAGTCATGTCAAGACCATTGAGCTCATTATTGAAATCACATCATCGATATACATCTCCATTCACTTTTTATAGAGGGTGGGCTAAATGCACTCTATATATTACTAAATGCACCTTTATTTATAATTTTCTCTTCACATACATCAACATCAAAATCAAATGCCACTTTCACATTCTGAATCTATAATTTGACCTGATTTTGATATTAAAATAATGCATATAGCAATCCCTTTTACAAAATAAAAGTTATTGAATATCTGTTTTCGTATATTTAATTAGTTTTATTATTTAATCTTTTTTGCTTACGATGTAACGAAGTAGCAATTTACCTTAAAAACTATTATTTTATCATATAACAGAGTGTTCATGTTCATGTGTCACGACCTATAAATCAGGGGTGCTCATGAGTTGGGTTGATCGGGTTGAAGACATTTGATCAACACAACCCAATGCTTGCGATTTGAAAAATCTTAACCCAACCCAAACCGTACGGGTTGGTCGGGTTGATACTTTGGTACATTAAAATATTCTTCTAACCTTGAATATGTTATTTTTTTCATCATCAACCATTTGATACAACTTATCTATACTTCTTACGTATATCACATTCAGTTAATTTTCTCAATTTACATATATATGTTTAAAATTACTGAACATATATACGAATGAGTTATATAGAGATGTGAATAGATTGAAAAGATGTGTATATGAAGAGCATACGTGATATTATTATTGTCTAATGCATATACTAATAGAAATCCAACAATCATATTAAGTCCAAGAAATAAAAGGATATCGGGATCATCGGGTTTGGTTTGGTTCAAATAATAGTAATTCAATATCTACGGTTTGAAAATTTTACAACTCGATTAGACATCGGGTTGCTTCGAGTTGAGTTATTTCGCATTGGATTGAGTTGAGTTTATCGGATTGGTTGGGTTTTTGAACACCCCTACCATAAATTGTAGGTGACATTTTGTCTTACATGTACAACTCTGTAGTCCCATCAGAACGAATATTTTCATGAAATTGATGATAAAAACCTATAAGTTGTTAATGTAATTATAACAATAAATTATAATGCAATGACGAATTTCTTGATAAATTGGTTATAGATTAAGTTATTCGTAAATAGTTCTGAAAACTGTACATATGAAACAAAATTGTATAATATTATATTTTTATATGGAGGTGTTCTCGTTTGAACTTTCATATATATATATATATATATATATATATATATATAGAGTTGGGTTCACGTGAGACCATGAGTTTTTCGTGAGACCCGTAAGATCAATTTATGTTCATTGATCAACTTTATAAGCATATGATCTAATGGTCTAAAGTTGCACGGTGACAATTTTGTAATTATTGATAAGTCTCGTGGCCTTTATGAATGTTCACATTTGACGATTGCAGATCTAATCCAAGGGTTGAGAATTGGTCTTACGAGTCTCATGAAAAACTATTGGTCTCACATGATCCCAAGTATATATATAGGATTGGGTTCATGTGAGACCAGTCTGTTTTCGTGAGACCCGTAAGACCACATTTTTACACGTAAATTTCACAGCAAAAACACTATGAAGATTTAAAAAAAGTCGAACATTCACAGCAAAAACACTGTGAAGGTTTAAAAAAGTCACATTCACAGTATTTTGCTGTGAAGTTTCAAGTATAAAAAGTTGGTCTCACGGGTCTCACGAAAACAGGCTGGTTTTACATGATCCCAAGTCTCTCTCTCTCTCTCTCTCTCTCTCTCTCTCTCTCTCTCTATATATATATATATATATGAGACAAATATTGTGTGAGAAGTACTTAGAGGGGTCGTTTATCAAGCACTTATCCGTTAAGTGTTTACTTGATAAACAGTTAATCGAATAAGCATTTGATAAACGACCGTTTAACATGATGCAACCAAATTAAAAAATAAAATAAAAAAACCCTTTTGCAGCGAGAGCCAAAGTTTGTTATTGATGAACATAAATGGGTGACACCTATTAATAACCACTTCACCAAATTTCAAAAGTACGATTACCCCTTTACCATCTTTTTCTTTATTTATTTTCCACCAAATAAACCTTTCTTTCTTTTTTTTTTTATCTCCCTATTAACAAAATACGAGAACAACTAAATCATATATATATATATATATATATATATATATAAAATTTATGAAAAGACCAAATTTTCTGTTATTATACATGATTACATGTATTGCGAACACGTAGTCATATATAATTAAACACGTCCAAAAGGACGCAATCGACTTGGTGAAAGCATCTAAAGGTCCCAGCAACACCGGGAAAGTTGCTAGTTGTATGTCGGTCAATACAATATGTGTTTAATCATATTTGATTACGTATTCGTATCATTAGTAACCATGTATTATATTAGAGTTAATCGTCTTTTTTATTTTGAACGTGATTCTTTGTATAACATATATATATATATATATATATATATATATATATATATATATATGGGCTGGTTCAAATGCTAACCAAGATTATCGTGTTAACTTTGTTAACCAATCTTGACCGTTAATTTGAATAATAAACGGTTGTGATTTAATGATATTTAAAAATTAATTATTAAATAAATATTTTCAATTAACATATGTGAACAAAATATCAAAGGGTATTTAGGTAAAAAGTAATATATCTTTGATACACGAGTTGTCAGACATATGAACAACTTGTGTATATCTTCAAACCACATCAAACAAAAAAGATTAGACATATGAACAACATGTGAACCATATGAACATCTTCTGTATATTCAGGAACCAACTTTGTTGTATGTACATGAACACTTATGAACCAAGACATCTAGGGTTGTGTGTTTTCATACGTGTTCACATGTTTTCACATGTTCTATGTGTGTGTATATGTATTCATATGAACATCTAGTGACTTGAATATACATGAACACTTATGAATCACAACATCTAAGGCTGTGTGATTTTTGATGTGTTCATATGTCAAATGTGAGAACTGTCGATTAAAATAAATGTGAATTATAGAACATAAACACGTGTGAAACCTCAATGTCAATATTGCATCATGATCAATTGTGATATTTTCAAATTTGTAACTCCCAATTAATTATTTGGGAGTTACATAAAATGACATATTACTTAAATACCTTTGTATTTAATATATGAGTTACATTTGAACCAAATAAAAAGATGGAATATGATTGGTTAAGCTTGATTAACACAAAAAAAAATTGATTAGTATTTAAACCAAGATATATATATATATATATATATCAATTTATTATATTATTTAAAACTTTATGTATTGTGACACATGTTTCTACTTTATATTTAGATGTCAATCATGCTTCTATGCATTCTATTTATTAGTGCCGACAATGTTATATAATACATGGATTAATTAAAGTAACATCTCACCAATTTAATTTGGGGAAATTAATTAAAAATGTAAAAAAAAAAAGTTTTGTGTAGAGAACCAATAACATACCCGTACGTAATGCTGCGCAAATCATCTCGGTTATAAAGTCGAGAATCCGAAACGATAATCTTGTCTTAAGTTTTATTTGAAACAAAATAGTTCAATAACAATGTTTTTAACCCATATAAAACAAATTAATTTGTAAGTACTAGAAGGGTACTCGCGTAATGCAGCGAGGTACATCTTGATTTTAATATTTTATTTTTTATTTTTGAATAAAATCTAAATTTGACAAAATTATATCGATATTATTATCAAATTAACTATTTAAAATTTCTTATTTTTTGTGTAATTTTTTAATTAAATTTTCTTAATTATAATTTAATTTAAGTTCAATAACGAATTAGTTTATATTTGGTTTAGTTATATAATTTTCTTATAAAGATAATGTTTAATTATTTTGTTAGAACTCGATAATTATTTTAATTATATTTTAGATTTTTTATATTTTAAAATGAGATGTTTATCCTCTATTTGATTATGTTTATCTGCAGTTAGTTACACGAATTCAAACATGAAGAATTTTAAGTAATATACATCAATATATAGTATTTCATGCATAAAAAATTATTTATAAGAGTTTTTGTCAAATGTTTTATAATATAGTATACATATTCATGATATTTAATTGTACGTTAAATTAAAAAATATTCAATATTGAACTCATTTTAAAGGTATTGAATAAACGAATGATATAATTTGTAAAAAAAATGAAACGTATTTTTAAATATCATTATATCATGAGAGAATCTTAATCATTCTGACCATTTAATCATTTTGCACTAAATCATTCAGCAACTGCCAAAATCATGTTTTAAAATGGGACCTAAATGTACTTATTTTGAAATTGAGGGAATGTATTTACAATTTAACGTAACTAAAAGGGTTGAAATGTAAACAAAGAACGATTCCTTTTTGGCCAATTTGTCACGTTTCAAAACGGGAAGATAGGAAAAAAAAAAAAACCGGTGACACGTCAGCTGACACGTTGAATCATCAATGTTGACCATACGAGTCAAATGTATGGCTAATTTATACTTTGACCCCACAAAAGAAAAAAACCTTAAAGTTCATTACTTGGAATATCTGACGCGCTTTATTGGTACGTGGGGAACTACCACTTCTTTCTTACAAAATCTCCTCTATACCTGCACCTGCTATATTCTAATTTTCTTTCTGACCATCATCATTCTCATTCTTCAGTTGAGCAATTCACCAAACAGTTGGTGTACATACGTTAAGTTTTCTTTCTTTTCCGGTTAAATTTGAAACCCTTTTGTTGCCGGTGGAGTAGCCATGAAAATGGACCTCATAACACCTGAATTAAACCTTTTAGAACTAGTATACACCAAGTTAAAGAGCTTTGTGTTTTGAGTCTATTTAGTACGAGTTCTTGTACCGACAAAGTAGAAGAAGAAGTTCTTTTGTGGGTGTTCGTAATGGCTGAATCTGAAGGGACCCAGAATGATACCCAATTGGTAGTGGTTGCTACAGAAGACATGGCTGTACGGGCTGTGAATAAGAGATATGAAGGGCTAAGCACCGTTCGGTCGAAGGCCATTAAAGGGAAAGGAGCTTGGTATTGGGTCCATCTTGAGCCTATTCTGGTTCGAAATCCGGATACAAATGATGCTAAAGCTGTTAAGCTTAGGTGCAACCTTTGTGAAGCTGTTTTCTCAGCTTCAAACCCATCAAGAACTGCTTCTGAGCATCTCAAAAGAGGAACTTGTCCCAATTTTAACTCTCTTTTAAAACCCTCATCATCGTCTTCTTCATTGCCGCCATTGTCTTCTCCTTCTTCTCACAGTAATCGAAAGAGGTTTGGGTCGATTGGGACTTCAAACGATGGTTTGAATAGTAACCGACAACCTCGTCAGTTTCAGCATCATTATCCTCCTCATAATCATCATCACGGGCAGCAGCATTTGCTGTTATCTGGTGGGAAAGAAGATTTGGGACCTTTGGCAATGCTAGAGGATAGTGTAAAGAAGCTTAAAAGTCCAAAACCTTTGCCTCCTGGTCCTCATTTAAGTAAAACCCAAGTTGACTCTGCTCTTGGATTATTGACTGATTGGTTCTATGAATCTTATGGGTCAGTTTCATTTCCAAGCTTGGATCATCCCAAGTTCAAAGCTTTTATGAATCAAGTTGGGTTACCTGAGATTTCACGACAAGATTTTATGTCTTCAAGGCTTGATTCAAAGTATGAAGAAGCAAAGTTAGAATCAGAAGCTAAGATGAGGGATGCAGAGTTCTATCAACTTGTTTCTGATGGGTGGAAGACCAAGACTTTTGGGCATGGGGAAGAGGGTTTGATTAAGTTTATGGTCAATCTTCCTAATGGAACTACATTATTTCGAAAAACCTTTTTCCCTGGTGGTGGTAACGGTACATCAATGGCGGTTCCAGCCACCTACGCGGAGGAGATCATGTGGGAGACCGTCACAGGTACATATAATGTTGAAAGATGTGTTGGAATAGTGGCAGATAAGTATAAGACAAAAGCTTTAAGAGATCTGGAAATCCAACATCATTGGATGGTTAATTTATCTTGTCAGCTTCAGGGAGTTGGTAATTTGATTAAGGATTTTAGCAAAGAGCTTCCACTTTTTAAGAATGTTATTGGTAATTGCTTGAAGATTACTAGTTTTTTTAACAACAATTCTGAGGCTAGGAGTATTTTGAACAGGTTTCGGTCACAGGAGTCCAGATTCTCTGTTTCTTTAGGAGTTCCTCCCCTTTTGTATTGTGAAAACTTACAGAACTTTTCGTCTATCAGTTCAATGTTGGACAATACGTTGAGCTGTGCTCGGGTCTTGCAATTAGTTGTAATGGATGATTCATACAAACTTGTGGTAATTGAAGATTCTGTTGCTACAGAAGTTGCAGAATTGGTCCAAAATATGGGGTTCTGGAATGATGTTGAGGCTGTTAACACTTTAATTAAGGTAATTAGAGGCATGGTTGAAGAGATTGAGGCTGAAAGGCCATTAGTTGGGCAGTGTCTTCCTCTTTGGGAGGAATTGAGAGCAAAAATGAAGGACTGGTGTGCCAAATACAGCATTCATGAAGGGCTTGTTGAGAAAATCATCGAAAGGCGATTCAAGAAAAACTATCACCCTGCATGGTCAACTGCATTCATTCTTGATCCAGTGTACTTAATAAGGGACTCTAGTGGTAAATACCTTCCCCCTTTTAAATATTTAACTTGTGAACAAGAAAAAGATGTTGATAAACTGATTACGCGACTAGTTTCAAGAGAAGAAGCTCACATTGCATTAATGGAGCTTCTGAAATGGAGGTCCGAGGGACTGGACCCTTTATATGCACAGGCGGTTCAGGTCAAACAGCGTGACCCTTTTACTGGAAAGATGAAAATAGCAAACCCTCAAAGTAGTAGACTCATCTGGGAAACTATCTTGAAAGAGTTAACCATTTTGGGGAAGATTGCAGTCAGGCTTCTGTTTCTTCATGCAACTTCTTGTGGGTTCAAGTGCAGTTGGTCTTTCATGAGATGGGTATCGACTAATGGGCAAACTCAATCAAGGGTCGGCCTCGAGAAGATTCAAAAAATGATATTTATTGCAGCGAACTCAAAGCTTAGAAGGCAAGAATTTGGTAGCGAAGAAGAGAAAGAAGCAGAGGTATTTGGCATAACAAGCAGCGAGGATGATGACATGCTCAATGAGGTCTTTGTGGATGCACCCTCATTGTAACGTTTTTCCGTTTTCTAACTCCTGCTGTTTGTAGATTAATTGTATTCTTTTCGTACCCTTTTCCTCTATCTTTGGTAGATAATTAGTCCAAGATTTTGCAGGTGTATCGCATATGTTAACAACGATCCATGAATATTATACCATTTATAACTATAATGAATCAAGATTTCAATTTTCTATCTTTTTTAAATAGAATTTGTTCTTTGAATCTTTAGTTCATCCTCCATGAAGGATTTGATAAGATATTCTGATTGCTGGGATCAAGATTTCTTGGTCTTTATACTCTTTCAACTGTAGGCAATATAATCAGATTCATTAAGCCAATTGATCCAGTTTGACAATTCATTTCTGCCCAAATGCAAATCCAAAATAAGAATTCAAGATTTCCGCTTGTTTGTTCTCGTTTTCTGTTAAGTTTGATTCATCTATGGAGGATTTGTATTTCCTCAAGAAATCTCTTCTGTTCTACTTCCTGAATCAAATCCCATGCATCTAAAACAGAATAAATAGCTCTTGATGCATACTGAATTCATATCTGTTGGTATCATGTTTCTTGTTTGTTTTTCCCTTTCTGTTTCCATTTCCATTCTTTTCACTGCAAATTACATAAATGTCTCCATGTGATCCATTCAATATCTCACTAATGCATACTAGATGAGTTTCTGTCAATTATATACAAATTTGGCCATCTACTTTTACACGTTGGAGCGTAGATTAATGTCATATCCGATACAGTTATGTACTTTTTAATTAAATTCACTCTTTTAATACATGAGGTTGCTTGAGATAGAAGTCGCGAAAGGACAAGGAATAGACCCCAGTTTTGAATTTTTTGAAGTTATCTTTCTCTCTACGGGTTTCATGATATCGGGATGCAAATGACATTGATTCAACCTCTTGACAACTCAAGCTACCAATAAAATCTCTGTAAAAGCCAAACTTGAGACTTCAATATCATCAGACATCGGTAACGGCCCCACCCATGAAATTAAGACGACATCTGTTCCCCATTAACCATCACTTTTATCGCAATTATCTCATAAAGAGCTTACTGAAACGCTATCTAGGATAGCGTCTGAGAAAAGCTAGCTTATGACATGCCAAACACACGTTAACGTTAAATTATAGTTCATGATGCTTTTCTTTCTTATATTCAAGATTTTGTGTTCAGTCGTTTTTAGGACGGGCCCTCGTGATCTTTGTCGCCCCCAATCCCAAAGCAGAAGAATTTTCGAGTAATGATTACTGTTATCTTGTCATGATTGCTGCAAAAGGTTTTCTTGAGCAAACCTGAAGCAATGGAGGCAGTTGGAATGAAGAAAAAGATGCATGCCACATTCCATCAGAAAAGAACAAGGTACCAAACTTCAACTTTTTGCTATACAGTCCAGTTTCTATAGATTTTGCTGATGCAGACTTTCATTTTCCTAATTATGCCTGCACATGCACATCTAAAGATGCAATTTTTATTATAACTATGAGTCTCCGGGTCTGCTTGTAGCATTTGCAGTAATCCCATGGGATTTTAAAGATAACAGTAGGAAAATCCCGTGGAGCCTTGAAGATAACACCTGAACTAATCTCATGGAGTGCTAAAGATAATATAGACAGGAAAATCCTTAATGGCACTGAGGAAACTCAAACTACGGCTCACAGGGAGGAGTTCCAAGATCTGGCTTTTTATTTGTTCTGTTGAATTTTAAGACGCATTTTGTTGGACATATCTTCCTTTCCGTTGCTACATTTTTAGTTTTTACGCGAGACCCACAAATAATAATGCTAAAAGGTGAAAACAACTGCGAAAAAGCTTTTTTTTCTTGTACGAAAAAGTAATAAGTACAGGAAACACTACACATGCAGCATACCATACATTTCTCCCATTCTACCATTTATGGTTGTCAACTCTAAAGTAGTTACTCATCTTTGGTCATATAAAACTTTTTCATGACTCAAATACACCATTTTCGTGAAATACAAGAGATAGAACGTTCGCTGTGTTTTTACCCTATCCGAATAGCAAGATTTCACCTTTTTATGTAGAGTACAATCATTGCCATAATGTGGTTGTTCTTTTAATCATAGGTGTTCGGACCCAGCTACACATACCTCAACAGATCTCACAGAACTTAATAATAGCAGTTAGAAAAATATCCAGTTATCCTAAACATGCTCAAACTGGGAACGTATGAAGAGGCTTCCAAGGTCTAATCTGTATTTACCAGTTAAGCTGACTTATTAGTTTTGTTTTTATGATACTTGTAAAGGGAAAAGATGATAGAGAGATATGATGATGGCCATAGGACATTTACTTGTATTCATGTGACAATATGTTCATGTCAATGTTACCCTCATTAGTGTCTCGATGTCCCACAGTCATAATGTACTCGAATTTGCATTTCAAAACAATCATTTTACAGAATTCAAATAATTGTATCGTAACGTATCAGATCTTACTGTTTTTTTATACTGATAATTCATTACACCGTACATATTTTTCTCTTGTCATCGGCATTGGGTAGACGACAAGAAACAGAAGAAAAAGACGTCGTAAAAATGAAATAAAAATAAAAATAAAAATATTTATGAAATATTGTTGGTTAAGACAAGAGATGAGAAAGTGGAAGAAAAGTTGTTTGAATCACATGGAAATGCTTAAATAAAGGTGTGAACTTTTGCAGTGTGTATGTAAAATCTTGTCTCAATTAGTGTTTGTTTCTTTCCAAACATGTCCTCTTTCTCTCTCCTCAAAAAAGCATTGGTTGAAATGTCCTTTTACTCCTTCTCAATGAAGTTTCTCTAGGGTTTATACCGTTTCTTCGAGTAAAAGGTTGATTATCAGTAATCTTGACGTGTTTTACACAGAACTCGTCTTCTGTTTATTATATGTGAGAAGATATTTCAAAGCTGACTTAGGAGTTGAAGTTAGCAGATGGGTTCAAGTCCATCTTCAGTATTCGAACTTGAACATGTTGTGTATTTGAATAAAATCACTCTGTCCCTTTGTCAACTGAGCAACATGCTCAAGGACAGTTTATAGCTTTTATTTTCACAAGATCCGTTGAGACCATTTAGTCTTGATGATTTTTTTTTAATCTTGCTGAACATTCATAGGAAAAACACTGTTCTTCACAACGTTCATATAGAAGTATCGAACCTTAAAAATCATTAAACCTTCACAACCTACACGTTGAACTCACAGAAGAAGAAAAAAGACATTGAACCTTCACAATGTTTTTACGGATATATCGAAAAATGGATATCCAATAGTGATATCTATACTATATTATAAAACATTTGACAAAAACTCTTAAAAGCCACTTTTTATGCGTAAAATACTGTTTATTATTGTATTTTACTTAAAACTCAAGATTGCAAGTAGATTGTACGTAAATACAACTTATTAAAGCTCCATATCCGAATTCGTGTAATTAACTGCAGATAAACATAATCAAATACAGGATAAACATCTCATTTTAAATATAAAAAATCTAAAATATAATTAGGATAATCATTGAGTTCTAACAAAAATATTTAATTATTATCTTTATAAAAAGTTATTATTAAATCAAAAATAAATTATTTCGTTATTAAACTTAAATTAAATTATAATAAAAAAATAAATTACATAAAAAATGAAAAAAATCTAATGGTTGATTTGATATCAACATTGATATATTTTTTTTGAAATTTTTATGATATCTTCAAATTTATATTTTATTTAAAAATAAAATCATTATTGCTTTCTTAAAAACACATAAAATCGTATTATAACATCGACGGAGACAAATAATAAAATAGAACATTGTAATCCAGATATGTCTCGCTGCATTACGCGAGTACTATTCTAGTATACTTTTAGAAATTCTGGCTATGTTCTTTTCCCAAAACAAGATACTATGATTATTGCTTATTTTATGCCCGGAATTTTATCCATTTTTGCTTAGGGCATTATCAATAATTTGTGTGAACGTTAAATTGTGATACAATTTGATAATTAAAATATAGAAGTCGTTATTAATGGACTAAAATTATAACATGCTAGTTTGTTGATGATAAGATAACCCTTTAATAGCCCATAAGAATCCCCGAACCGTACACATGGACCCTAGTCTAAACGAAATGACGTACATATGAATATAAATCCAAAGCAAGCAAGTCACTCGTGTTACACCAAAGGGTCGTCCCAAAAGAACAGTCTGGTAAAGCTGCTACGTAACACTTTCATACCTTCTCAGGTCTTATCATGTTGTATTAGTTGCCTTCACTGATAAATATCAGATACAAGATTTATTAAACTAACTTGATCGTTTAGTTTATTATTATTTTTTGGATTTATTCTTGAAATAGCTCTATCAGACACTTGTCAAATAATGATTGCGTTTGGACTTTGGTTATATACATCGTTATGATTTAACATGGTCAGTGATGATTTCTTTTTCAAGTAATGATTTATTTTAGGCGTTGGTTGATGAAAAACATTCCGTTCATAAAGGCTTTTTTTAAATAATCATTAGTAAAAATATGTATTTTAAATCATCATTAAATGATGTTTTTAAATTTAAAAATTTTAATGTTTCCTTTTTGCCAATTTTCAAATTTTTAACCGTTTTAAAAATTCTTATTAATTAATAAATAAAATCACTGCTTTTTTTTTTTCTGATGTTCCGTTAAAAATATAAAAAAATTACGTACCATTTTTTAGATTAGAAAAATCGAGAGTACTAAGGTGAAGTCTTTTCAAAGCAACACCTTTTTTTAAGTTTTTGTTATAAAATTTAAGTTGATGTTCGTTTCTCCCAGAAGATTTAAGTTTTTTTTTATTAACCTGAATATCTAATCCGTTATGCGGGTCGACTAATCTAAGGGCGACCATCTGCTTTGCAGATAGCCCGGAGTCACCGCATTTGAACTTCTGTGGCTACAAGGGGATTTTTATTCCTCATTGGATTTGAACCTAGGACCTTCTGGTACTTTTGACCTTTGGAGCCAAACTCAAACCAATCAGACATCATTCTTGTTTTTATGATGTATTAAAATGGTGTCAATATCATAAGCATGAATTTATTTTATGCAATTTTAATATAATGAATATATATGATAATTTGAAAGAAAAAAAAAACAAAGCAATGATCAATAAAAACATACATAAATTTTATTGTCTATGAATATTTTTATATATTATTTTTTTTTTCAATAATAACATTTTTTTTTCATATGTTTTTCATAGGATATAAATAAGTTTTTTTTAAATAAATCTTTATTTTGTAATGCAATAATTTCCTTAAAAAACATTTTCAACCAATATTAAGATAAATTAGAGTTACTATTATTTTTTTTTTTTTATTAACCTAGATATTTTCTAAGAAGATCATCTGATTTGCCAGTAACCCAGAATCACTGCGTTTGAACCTTGGTGACCACAAGAAGATTTTTATATAAAAAAAAAACTAGAAGGGTACTTGTGCAATGCAGCAAGATACATCATGATTTTAATATTTCATTTTATTCATTATCTTAGTCGATGTTATAGTATGGTCTTATGCAATTTTGAAAAAACGATAATGTTTTTATTTTTTAATAAAATATAAACTTACAGATATCATAAAAATTTGACAAAAATATATCGATTATAATATCAAATTAACCATTTAAAAATTCCTATTTTTTGTGTAATTTTTTATTTTAATTTTTTATTATAATTTATATTTAGATTCAATAACAAAATAATTTATATTTGGTTTAATAATGTAATTTTCTTATAAAGATAATAATTAATTATTTTGTTAGAACTCGATAATTATTCTAATTATATTTTAGATTTTTTATATTTTAAAATGATATGTTTATTCTCTATTTGATTATGTATATCCGTAGTTAGTTACACGAATTCAAACATGCAGCTTTAATAAGTTGTACTTATGTATAGTTTACTTGTAATCTTAAATTTTAAGTAATATGCATCAATATATAGTACTTCATGCATAAAAAATGGTTTTTAAGAGTTTTTGTCAAATACTTTATAATATAATATAAATACAAAATCAAATAAATTATAGAAAAAATAGACGAATTTATTGTATTAAAATAAATCAGATTTACTGTTATCTTTTAATAATCTTTCAATTAACACCTTAATTTTAATAAACCAAAAAATTCTATTGAAAACTGTATAACAACAAAATACACTATTGTAGTAGTATCTTTAATAGGGTTTTTTTTAATAATTTATCTAAAATATAGAATTAAAAATCAAAATCTTAAAATATATATATATATATATATATATATTTAACTTTCGTAGATTCTTTAATTTAAATTTTTCAACGTTTATTATATTATTAAAACTAGAAGTATATTTGTAAAATTTAGTAAGATACATTTCGATTTTGATATTTTGTTTTATTCTTTGTCTCTATCGATGTTATAATACGATTTTATGTGGTTCTGAAAAAATGATAATGCTTTTTATTTTTGAATAAAATATAAATGAATATATCATAAAATTGTGAGACATATATCAATATTAGTATCAAATTAACTATTTAGAAATTCTCATTTTTTTGTGTATAATTTATATAATTCACTTTTTTATTATAATTGAATTTAAGTTTAATAACGAAGTTATTGTTTTTGGTTTTATAATATAATTTTATATAAAGATAATTATTAAATATTCCGTTAAAACTCAATGATTATCTTAATTATATTTTACATTTTTTATATTTAAAATAAAATTTTATATTATATTTATCTACAATTAGTTACACGAATTCAAACATAAAGCTATAATAAGTTGTACTTATGCATAATATACTTGTAATATTTAGTTTAAGAATTATACATCAATAAACAGTACCTTATGTATAAAAAAATAATTTTTAATTTTTTTTAAATGTTTTATAATATTATATAGATAGTCTATAATTTTATCATCTCAATATAATTTTTTTTTAAATTATATAAAACATTAATAATTCAATATCATCAGTAAAAATGAATAAAAAATTAATTTCTCTCTTCACACATCAAATCTTAAATCTCTAAACTTATAGTTTTTTTTTTAATTTTAAATATAAATAATTTGCTAAAATAACATATACCCCCCTCTCTGTTTTTAAAATTCTATTAAAAAACAGAATTGTTTTTTCTCTTTTTCCGTGTTCGACATTCTCAAGTTTGCAAATTTTCCCTTTTATGTTGTGCACTATAATTATAAAACCGTTAAATGGGCCTGGCTACTTGGGCTTGTTGGTTCGGGTAAGGTCCAAAATATGCCATTCTGATTCATGCGTCATGCCCAACCCTATCTTATATGGTAACCAAATAGACAGTGACGGATTCAGGAAATTAATGGGGTGGGGCATATTGGATGGGACTTGGGGGACGGAATCATATGGCCATATGAGACTGGGGGGAAACTATGTAAGGTGAGAGTGAAAATATAAAATTTAAACTAGTCAATAAAGGTTTTTTGTTTTTGACTAGGGTCTTTCCCCCCAGTGCTTAAAGGTTGGATCCTCCCCTGCAAATAAAAACCCGAATTGATATCAAAATGGGTTTGAGTTTATAAAAACTCGACTTCTTTCAAGAGTAAAATAAAAAGTGAAAACATAGTGATCGTCGTTTTGGAATGGAAGGCAACATGTGTCAATTTACAATTGGGTGTTTAAAATGAACTTTTAAGTAATGAATAAAAAGACCAAAATACGCTTAACTAAAGGAACTAAAATTAACGGAGTTAGGTTGATTGACTTAATCCATAATAAAAGAGAAACCATAGTGATTATCGCTGTAATTATTTCGTTTGGAGGACCCAATAAATAATTTTGTATAAGTTGTACAATATGTGTATATATATATATATATATATATATATATATGTATGTACGCATGTGTATATAGTTAGGTGATAACTAATAGTCTAATACCGAAGTATGTCAAACTCGAAACACGTTTATTATGCCGAACATAGTTTTGATTAATACTTATAAACTTTCAAGCATCCAAATCCTCAAATCAATTTCGAGCCCACATCAAGAAACACCCGTTATCAAATCAACTTGACTTCGCTTCGCTTGCTTACAACTGTATCTCTTGTATTTCGTTAGTGGGCTCGTGATGGGCCAACTGCGCAATCGGCTATTAGCTCAGTGGATACAGTGTGTCAATAATTGCGCCTTTGTCCGATCCATGGTGTATTATTAGCGGTGTATCTCGAAGATTCATATATATATATATATATATATATATATCAAGTCATCAGGTATGGTACGAAGCAATAATGTGTAGTTATGATGGGTCTACGTCTGAAATGCATGCCAACCCATTGGGTTTCCATAAATACGTATTCTTGGCTAAGATTCAATTTGATCATACTCTATGGACCACATTTCATCTTCACCATCCTCCTTCAATTATTTTTTCATCCAAATCAAAATCAATTCATTAATGTTCATGTACGCTTCATTCTTCAACGACAAAAAAATTAAGACCCACAAAATAAACTAACTTACAAAATACGTTTTTAACTTCAAATGAGCGTTCCTTGTGATCGTTTGTTGCTTTTCACAATTTGCACGGATGCATTTCTTGGATCTTTCTAACACCGTCTCTAAACATTATGTGTCATCTTGTCATGTCACGACCATAAATTTAAAAATAAGTTTAGCCCACAACTTGTCAACCCCCCATTATGTGCTGTCTTTGAACATCAAATCAACTGATAAATAAAGGCTATATACTTCAGGCTCCTCATAGGTCACCGCTTTGAGTCTCCTAAGAGCCATTAGGGATTTTCTTGGCTGTTATTTTCAGGAACCACGAGATTAGTAAAGATGCGCACAAGGTTAGCCACAAAAAAACCGAATGTTAGCCAAGAATGAGCATTTAAGAAGAGGACAGATTTAGACAAGGAGAAATGGGCAGAAACACTTGTAAGTATGAGATAAACATGGAGCAAGATGGTTGCAGTTTAGTAGCAGACACAATTCAGATGGAGTTGGGTACCATCTGCAATGTTTAGTCTAAATGGTATCAAAATTGTTACATTTCTTACCTTCCTTGTTTTCAAGAAACACTTCCTAACGGCCACTAATTCGAAAGACTCGGTTGGTGTCAATTATCACCGCTCGGTTTAAAATTCTTTCATCATCAAAAGGGTCTATCTTGAATGATATATTGTTTCCAGAAAGATTTTCGGATTTCTTGATCATCAAATAATGAGATTAAAGGGTGTTCATTTGCCTCATCTCAATTTGATTTCTGGCAGAGGAAACAAGTGGAACAAATCTAGATCTCTGTTGAGATCTTGGGAGGCAAAAACTGCACACCCATTCTCTACTTCTGCAGCAACACAACTCACCTATTTTGCTTCTAGTTTTAACTTCTCAAGGGACCCAAAGGCCAATCACCAACTCATCTTAAACCTATAAGAAGAAGCTTTGGCTTGTAATCAAGATTTAGAGCCAGGTAAACACAGCCATTAGTAGAGGTTTCAAGATTTAGATTCAGCCCATGGTTTTACACTGTTTAAAAAAGCCAACTTGAAGACTTTTAGTGATAAACAAAGACATGTTTCTGCTGGATTAGTGTCAGCTCTAACATGGGTTTTGCCCCTAAGGAATTCTAGTAAATTGTTAAATAATGATTAAATAAATTCAGTAATTCATGGAAGCTATCAAGTGTCCATCTGCTAAAGAACATTACAGCTAATAGTTTACGCATCTAGGAATGCCATTGGTCAAGAAGCACCATGGAAACTGTTGCATCAGTGGCCAAGAAGTCCATGTATGTATAAAATCATTATTTGAAGAAAAATTTAAGATCCAAATGAATAAAGAAATAGCCTTTGGACCAAAAGACCGAAGAATAAAAAAATAAATAGATAACTGAATCATTTAATGGCTCGTAAAGAACCAAACAAACCGTGCCTAATCAATCTTGTCATAAATGCAATGTCACCCCACATGGAGGTTAACCTATCCATCTCATCCAATGCTTGTTGGCTTATATATATACAGTCAGTATCTGTGCCCAAATCATATAAGCTTCTCTGTTCAGTTTGAAAAGCCTTCTATTTCCATCAGAAATTGTAAAAGAAAGATGGGTTACTGGTTAACTGAAAATGCCACTGAGGCCTACCTTAAATCTATGAAAATGGTAAGTTCATCAGAAATTGTGAATTATTGTTGAAGTTTTCTTGATGATGTGTTTCTGTTTACTTATGTACGTATGCATTTGATTCTGCAGGGAAAGAGGGCTAATGAACCAGATGCATCAGAGTTCATTTCAGCAATTGCAGCTGGAAACAATGCTCAACTTATGGTGGTTGTAGGTGCTGCCACCGCCAGGTCCACCACCGTAGGACTTCTGGCGGCAGCTGAGCAAACTGGCGGGCATGTGATTAGCATCTTTAAAGGAACAGAGGAGTTGCACTCCTCAAAACAGGCCCTTGGCTCAGATGCGGACCGAGTTGGGTTTGTTGTAGGGGATGCTGAAACTCTGTTGCTAAATAACTACAGAGATGCAGATCTGGTGGTCATCGACTGTAATCTTGAGAATCATGAACAGATTTTAGGAGCCATAAAAGGGAATGGGAGGGAAAAGAGTACTATTGTGTTGGGATATAATGCATTCTGGAAGGATTCATGGCGGTGGAGCAGATCAAACAGTCATTTGTTGCCTATTGGAGAAGGGTTGCTGTTGATGAGAATTGCCAGGAAATCTGAAAATGGTGGTGGTGGTGGTGGTAAGAACACCCGTGATGGCGGCAGCCATGGTGGAAGTAAAAAGAGCCATTGGGTTGTTAAAGTAGATAACTGCACAGGTGAAGAGCATGTTTTTAGAGTCAAATCACCAGGCGGTCGAGTTGTCAAAGCTTGAACTTACGGCATACTATTTTGATTCTTCGAGAAACTTTTAGGGACTAGTTGATTCTTAAATGTATATAACAGCTAATGTGTAACGATCTCTCTGGGTGCTAATTTTATAACTATGATTTGTATGTTTGTAGAACTCAGAATCGGTTAGAATTTAGAAGGAACAAATACTAGAATGCTCCTGTGTATCTCAAAATTGTTCTTGAATGTGTAGGAAGGAAATGTTGTCGAGACTTGGACATTTCTTTATTTTTCGATCGCCTAAGAAATAAAAGATCTTGTTGTTTCTTCAACAATTTCTGAACTCTAGTGGACCTCTCATTAGGGTTCAAGCCCAGATGAAGTTCTGACCATTTACAGAGAAAAAAGAATGAACGGATCTTGTAGGATTCTCAAGAACACTTCATGAAATCCTCGGATGTCGTAAAAAGTGAGATCAACATGGAGGGAGGAGCACTGGAGCATGGAGTCATCCACACTTTATATCTATGTCACTTGAGCAGAAAGATTAGGGCTGATCTACTCAACGCATTCGCTGTTCAATCATCGGCTGCAGATGGGAAACAGCCCAGATCGCACGCTAAGGTCCCTAAGCAATCACTTAGTGGGGAAGTAAAAGCAGGGCGTCGGGTAGCTTACCGAAAAAGTCCTGTTTGGTAAGCCATAAACTAGCTTATTGCTACTTCACATAGCTTCTTGATAAGCTCCAAGGTCTTTTTTCCCAATTATTCCCCTTGTATGTTAGAATTGAATAATTTTCTAACATGTCCTTATTAGCTTTTTTTTACCAAGCGATACTAGTTTATCAGCTAACGAGCTTATTTGCCAACAACTAACCAAAACATAGCCCTAGCAAAACTTCTTCTATCGCTTACCAAATCCATGAATCACATGCTTGAGTGAATGATGCACACCCCTTATGGATTGTTGACCATGAAAACGATGGGATAGAATTAGAAACCAAAAGATAGATTTTGAAAGCGGTATCGCAACCGAAGACACCAATAATCCATGTGGTCTAGCCGTCTAGGTCCACTGCCACAAAGTCCTAGAACAGGCAAAGCTCTCCTTATAGGAGGTTGGCATGGCCACAAGGATCAAAAGCTCAAATTCATAAAACAAGTCTTATTCCTACGAGAGAATAAGGACGTAATGCAGCACAACAAAAAAAATTTAATCAACCGTTTCAATTAAGAAGGAATGCAAAAAATAAGCAAATTACATGGGAATTCAAATCTATCATAAATTAGAAACTACTACAACATTCACAGCAAGCTTAGTCTTTAGCTAAGGGACTCCACAAACTACAACAACAAAAATTCTAAAAGTTCCATAAGAGTGAGAAGTTAGTAGCACCATATCTATTGCTTACACCGACTTTCTAAAAACCATCTAATCAAGAAGCAACAAAGTGCTAAAATCAGTAAAAAGGAGGTTAGCATAATGGATTACCAAGTTCTTGTACAACTTCTTCGACAGATGGCCTCTGATCAGGAGATTCATGGGTGCACATCAACGCAATTTTTGCAAACTTTGCAGCTTCATGCTCGCAGAATCTTCCGTGGAGATTTGGATCAATAAAGTCAATGAATGTGCAAGACTCGGCAGCAAACCTTGCTGCATTAGCGAATTTCCGTTTACCAGAAATGATCTGAAACACGAGAACACCAAATGCATAAATATCACTCTTTTGTGTGAACCTGCCAGTTGTGGCGTACTCAGGAGCTAGATATCCCATGGCAGCACTGGCCTTGAGTGCTGAGAAAACGGTATCTTTTGTAAGAAGCTGGTGAAGGCCAGAACCCGACAGTAATGGCTTGAATCGCTGATCTAGAAGTACATTCTTCACTGATATATTCTGATGAACCATAGCCGGTTTGTTCAGCTTGCTCCCATGTAAATACTCTATACCTGCTCAGGTCAAATGTTACAAGATTAGCAGGTTACAGTCAAAATGGCTACAAAATGGATACAAAATAGGAAATATGATCTCACCTTTGGCGATACCATTGATGATGGAAGCCCGAGTGGACCATTCAAGAACAAGACCGTCATCCTTCATGTCAAGATACCGTAATAGGTTTCCATTAGGTACAAAGTCATAAATGAGAAAACACTCACCACGGCCTTTTGAGCAGCAAAAGCCTCTCAATCTGACTAGATTCTCGTGTCTTAGAGACGTCAAAATATTCAGTCCCTTCAAAAATTCGGCTTCCTCAGATTTGCAGCTACTTTTTATAATGCTCTTTATAGCAACAACGGTTCCATCTCTCAACATTCCTTTGTGAATGGCTGAAAACACACTTTTGCCTAATAAATTTCCTGGAGCGAAGTACTGTGTAGCTGACTCTATCTCTTCCAAATTAAACCTAAAGCTCTGCATTATTTCTTGAGAGACCCCACCAAATCGCCGACCCTCAGCTAATGGGTCCCACCCACTGGAATACTCGAGGTTGATTAGAGGTGAGCCGTTTTTCCTCAATACCTCCTTTGCCTTCAATTGGTCAGCGCGTCCATCAGCGGTGGCCAGCCCATCGGTGAGTTTTTGTTCTCTATAAAGATAATGGGAAACTGCTAAGACAGCTATGACCGATAATCCTACAATGGCTACAATCACTCCAACAATAACAGAAGCTTCGGGGGTCTTTGATGATTTCGAGCATCGTGTGTCGCTACAATTCAACTTCAAATCAGCCGTTTCTGGGATGTTTTTCATCGGTATGCCATCTGGATTCACCTGATCCAAAGCACTGCAAGCTCTCAAGGTTTCAAATTCAACGCCACATAGACCCAGGTTGTTTCCATATTGAAATCCTCCGGCTAATCTCTTCAAATCTTTAATTTCAAAACAAAAATAACCATTAATTAGGTATGACAGAAATTTATCCCCATGTTCAAGAAAAGGGAATCACACTTCGCATTTTGAGGTAAATTCTATCACTTCTAAAAAAACCCTAATCAATGTAGTTTTAGCACCAAAATCTTTCTAATCTTTTGAAGTAATTACCAATTTAGTTTCTTGAAAACACAAACTTTTTACTAATTAAAACTCAAATAAATCGATTTCTTGCATTTGGAACAGAGAAAATTATAAGCATGAAGAATACCTAGAGGTACTTTGCCAGAGAGAGTATTATTTCTCACATCTAACACTTGGAGCATAGGGGCATCAGCCAATCTTGTAGGGATGGAACCGAAAAGGCGATTGAAACTTAAATCTAGCCTTGTTAATAATGCTAAATCCCCCAAACTGGCTGGCAATGCACCGCTAAGGTGATTAGATTGCAGAGAAATAACACTAAGCTTCTTCAATGATCCGAGTTGAGTTGGTATGCTTCCACTAAATTGGTTGTAGGATAGCTGCAATACTGCATAGCAAGTTTAAAATAGGACTTCAATTTCTGAATTCATGTAGGAAACCCCAAAACAAACCAATAAACAATAAAGCATACTCTTTTCAGCAAAGAACAAAACCAAAAGAAAGATGCATTTTTCAAGATTCAGTTTTTTGTCTCATAGCTATAAGGGTAAAATCCGAAACTCAATGAACAAGTATAGATTGCTTTACTAACCTTGTAAATTCTCCATTTTTCCAAGTTCAGCAGGAATGCTCCCAGAGAGATTATTCACATTGAGATACAAATCACTGAGCTCAGTCAAATTTAAAATCTCCTTAGGAAAACCTCCAGACAAAGAGTTGTAATGCAGGTAGAGACCAGTCAAGTGTTTGAGCTCAAAAAACGCAGGCGAGAGCTTGCCGGAGAGACCTTTCCCCTGTAAGGAAATATTAGCTACTTGACCCTTCTCATTGCACCCAACACCCTCGAAAGAGCTACATTGGTCACCCAATACAGTCCACGAGCCCAAATATGTATTATGTGGGTCTAGACTGGCCTTGATGTCCATTAGAGCTCTCAGTTCGGCATTTCCACAAACAGTTGGTGTGTAAAATGATGTGAACAAGAGTGGGAGGAACAAGAGAAACGATGAAACACTCATGTCTTTCATTCTCTCTCTATAATGTTTTACCTTAAGATCTCACTTTTGTTTGCCTCTTATTCTAGACAAATGCTTGGGATAGTAACGATTTTGTTCTTTGCTATGTTAAAGAACATCTCTTTCTCTCTCTCTATAACTGGTTTCTCTCTCCTCGGAGTGTGGTTTCAGCACGAGCTACTGGGTTTTCTTGGAATTTTTTTCTTTTTGAATCTTTCTGTCTCTCACACACACCAACACGCACTCCTTCTCTCTCTGCAACTTGGAGACGAAGAAGATGATGGTGCAGTGTTCCCTAGTGGAGACCAGCTGGCAAGTCAAGGTTAGAGGGGGAAGTCCACGACTTGGAATTTTGACGGAGAGTTTAAATCACGTCCGTCCGATCTTTTAACTTTGTTGGGTGAGTAAAAAGCTACAATGCATCACGGCTGTACCGTAGTCCTACTCCTCAGGTTAAACAAGACTGCGTAGACCGCGATTGGACTGTAGAGACTAGAGTGCGAGGAAATTTGAAAAAGCGTAAACAAAAGGAAAAGACAATAATATATTATTTAAAATTAATTTTAAAAATTATTTTTATATTTTTGGTAATTTCTTCTCTCAAAGTACACATGTTTTATCCCAACAACCTCGTTTCGTTGGTTGTAACGTTTATTGAAATTCTTTATAATCAAATTACATAATTAAATATGTACCGTTATTTATCCTAACACTTAAGTCCCGATAATCTAATGAACTTGTTTACGCTTCAACTTATCCATTAAGATACCTTTTAAGCTAGGCTGTTTAGGACAGTTTGTTAACAACTTAGTCGATTTGTACATGACTATTTGATAGTGACTTAATAATAACAAAAAGTAGTTTGCTCAGTAAGTTTTTAAGGAAAGTTTTATATAAAAAATGTCAAGTTTTTTACATACCTGACAATTAAAGTCATTGTTGACTGGGTTGGTGAAATTTATAAATCCTTCATGGTATGATAAATGATAGGACCACAACAGTAGGAGGAAGTTAAAATTCAGAAGCTTATGACTCAAAATAAATGTCGTGTAATAAACTTAATATTAAATTTAACACGTATTTTAAATAACATCAGATATCTACACATTTTACAACTAGAAAAATTAAGAACGTGTAAAAAAATTAATTATATAAATATTTTATAACAGCCATAAAAAACATATATTATATTTTAATAAGTTGTTGAAAAATATGAATGTTTAAAGATAATTGATGGAAATCTTATAAAATTACAACTACAATACAATATATATATATATATATATATATACACTATCTTATAAAGCATTTGGCTAAAACTCTTAAAAACTCTTAAACCCGTTCATCCATAAACAATTTCATCTCATATCTGAATTCGTGTAACTAACTGCAGATAAATACAATCAAATACAGGATAAACATCTCATTTTAAATATAAAAAATCTAAAATATAACTAGGATCATTATTGAGTTCTAACAAAATACTTAATTATTATCTTTATAAAATGTTATATTATTAAATCAAAAATAAATTATTTATTATTAAACTTAAATTGAATTATATAAAAAAAAAATTATCTATACTATATTATAAATCATTTGACAAAAACTCTTAAAAACCACTTTTTATGCGTAAAGTACTGTTTATTAATCCATATTACGTAAAACTTAAGATTGCAAGTAAATTGTGCGCAAGTACAACTTATTAAAGCTCCATATATGAATTCGTGTAACTAATTGCAGATAAACATAATCAAATACAGGATAAACATCTCATTTTAAATATAAAAAATCTAAAATATAATTAGGATCATCATTGAGTTCTAACAGAATACTTAATTATTATCTTTATAAAATGTTATATTATTAAACTAAAAATAAATTATTTGGTTATTAAACTTAAATTAAATTATAATAAAAAATATAAATTACAGAAATTACATAAAAAATAAGAACTTTTAAATAATTGATTTGATATTAACATTAATATATTATTTTTTCAAATTTTTATGATGTTTTCTAATTTATATTTTATTCAAAAATAAATTCATTATTGTTTTCTTAAAAACACATAAAATCGTATTATAACATCGACAGAGACAAATAATGAAATAGAACATTAAAATCGATATGTGTCTCGCTGCATTGCACAAGTACTCTTATAGTCTTTATAAAATGTTATATTATTAAATCAAAAATAAATTATTTCATTATTAAACTTAAATTAAATTATAATAAAAATAAATTAAAGAAATTTACATTAAAAGTGAGAACTTTTAGGTAGTTGATTTGATATTAACATTGATATATTTTTTCCAATTTTTTATGATATCTTCAAATTTATAGTTTATTTAAAAATAAAATCATTATTGCTTTCTTAAAAACATATAAAATCGTATTATAATATCGACAAAAACAAAGAATAAAATAAAACATTAAAATCGAAATGTATCTCGCTGCATTGCGCGAGTACCTTTCTAATATATATATATATATATATATGCCTAATCAAATGAGAACTGATTAGTTTGTGGTAACTGTGAGGTCCAATCTCAAACACAAATCAACGGTTAAATTAGGAAATTAATAATTATGGTAGTTTGAGTTAAAATTATAATTAGAGGGCATATTATGTATTTTTTTAAAACTCCTTTCTCATTTCTCCGACTTCCAATCTCCGGCCTCCGGTGAAATCGGTATCACAGTATATCACAATGGGTATCACATTGTGTATCTTTGTTTTTAAGGTTTGAGTTGGTATCATAGTTGGTATCACAATGGTATCACAGTATATCACAATGAGTATCACATTATGTATCTTTGTTTTTAAGGTTTGAGTTGGTATCATAGTTGGTATCACAATGGTATCACAGTATATCACAATGGGTATCACATTGTATATCTTTGTGACTACTTGGTACCTGCCGGATTAATGTTTGCCGGAGGCCGGAGATTGGAGGTCGGAGATAAGAGAGAGGAGTTTTTTTTAAAAATATATAAAATATCTTATAATTATAATTTTAACTCAAATTACCATAATTATTAATTTTCTAATTTATCCGTTGATTTGTGGTTGAGATTGGATCTCACAGTTATCACAAACTAATAAGTTATTCCTGAATGGATCCCTATATATATATATATATATATATATATATATATATATATATATATATATATATAT